GAACTACAGTCTCCAGTGGGGGAAGCGAAAGCAGCGGAAGCGTCAGCAGCACATCCACGAACAGCGCTGCTGGCTACCGTGTCACCCAGGCTCCCGTTTTCGCTGTGGCTGGTGCTATCGCCGGTCTAGCTTTATTCTAAAGCAAAACTAAAACTTTGAAACAAAAGACAAAATGAATAATGAAGAGGCAAATAACCATGGACGATGAATACGTCAGCTTTATTTGTTTTCCGATACTGTTAAAATACGAAAGCGGCAAGCATGATTTAAAAACTAGGAGGCAACTAGGAGGCGATTAACGGATCACTAAGCGTCTTGGATTCACTTGGAAAAGTGATTTTTACAGTTATATCTTCCCCGTAGCTGGTAGTAGATGTATGATTAATGTTGAACACAAGAAATAAAAATGCAATTTACAATGTGAAATATAACTTATGAATTCGTGCAAGTCGCCTGACGCACCTATTCCGGCTCCTTTCCCATATCTGCAACAGCACAACCCAGAGTGAAAGATAGCTCTGGGTATGTCGCAGAAATTCCATTTGAGGATACAAGGGCTGGTTTTAGGTGGATACAGAAGACGACTACTACTTATATATATGGTGCTAGAATCGTATAGGGCGGTTGCCTCTGAGTAACTCTAACCCCAAAGGAGATTAAAAAGGGCTGTGAAGTAATGAAATCCACCATCTGTTCGGAAGGTGCTGCCACCTGGAAAGTCGGCAAACATGCGTCTGAACTAATCGTCAGACTCTCCAATTTATCGCAGGTGACTTCAACGCGTATTCCCAAGGCTGTTTGCCCTTGAAAACCTCGTTACCCTCTACGAAATCCAACACAAGTGATTTACAGATCAGAGGACTGATGATCTTGTTGATCAAGAAAGCGTCGAGTCCGGGTATGCGCCCCAGTACGTAACGGTCGAGAAACCAATTCGCGTTGTTACTCCAAGCGCTGACCCTTGTGAGGGATTTTGAAAACTCAAGATCCTTTTGGAGAAGCTCCATGCGAATCGCCTGGTAGCGGCTGAAAATGGCTGTGAGTGACTCCCCATCAAGAGTCGCATTTTCCGAGTGGTCAAGTGGCAGATTCTTCTTCAGCTCGTTCACTAGTGCAACTATATCTTGGATGCCATTATTAAACCCGAGCCCTTGGTTTGGCGTCATTTTGTGGCATGCATCACCAGCGAGCACGAGACGACCCCAGCTCCAGTATTTTACTATTCCTTCTTCAAGGTTGGTGATACCGCCGTTCAGCCGAGATGCAAATAGATCCTTCACAGTCAGTTTCTGGCCCAGAGGTAGGTCCGCCCGGCGCGCAATGAGAGCCTCCGCATCTTCCTCCGTGTAGGAGGCTCTTTCTCGAGTAGGCGACTCTAAGCGCTCATAAATGAACATCCAAGAGCGCTCGTACCCGTTCACCAATTGAACTGAGAAGTCGGTGGAGTGCACTTCAACGTTGTGGCCGGTCTCATAGAACTCCGGACGGGGCGCGTTGCACCATAACGCCCTATATTCGCTCTGGTACGGCTTCTCCTCGTTAACGTTCGACGCTGAAGATTTAATTGCAAGTTCACGCATGATCTGCCGGACTTTGCTCTGGGTGCCATCGGTGCCCAGGACCATTGAGCCCGGATACACGCTCCCATCTTCACAGCACACTTCGACCCCTGTATCACTGGTTTTGACATCGACCACATTTTTGCCAGTGATAATCTTGGCCTTGCTGGACTTTTCGAGGCTATCGTAGAGAGTTTCCAAAAGTTTAGCCCTGTGGAATGCGACACTGCCAGTACCATGGCTTTGAAACTCTAGGTTAGCATCGGTGCTGCCACGTGAGATCTAGGAAGGGGGCAAAACGTCTTCTCACTTTGTTCTGAAAGCCTCAGGCGCCCAATTATCTTTTATCGTGAGCCCTTCGGCAGTCCAATTCGTGATATGACGGATTTCAGAGCCTATCTTCTGCAACTGCTCCAGGAGCCCCAGCTGTGCCATCACACGGAGGCCATGCGGATACAGGACCATGCTCGCGCCGACATCGGGAGAGACGGTGTCGCGATGCTCGAGGACGAGGAAATCGATTCCTGCCTGAGACAAGCAATGAGCTGCGGTGAGCCCAACAGGCCCTCCGCCAACTACTATGATTTTGAAACGATCGCCGGACATAGTCAGGCATGCAGAGTTACTGTGAGACCCTCTCACTAAGAGCAGTTACACTTCAATACACGATGAGAGCAAATCGGTTTCTTCTCAGGTCATCTACGGAGGGAAGCGTAGGGAACGAAATGAGAGGCTGTTCCCGTCTTACAGGAGGTCAGCAAATACTTACGAATACGATCATCGTGGTTTTGGGCGGCGCGACATGGGGTGGTCAAAGCGGGGTTTCGAAGCCAATTTACAAAAGTTGAAGAGGACTGGCCGAATCCTGGTGTTGGCCCGCAGCCTTCCTGCTGACGCGGGAGGAGCGCAAGGCCCTGCTGCAGACCGCGCGCGAGGCTGTGGGGCCCGACTTCCCCATCATGGCCGGCGTGAGCGGGCACTCGACGCGGCAGGTGCTCGAGTTCATCGGCGACGGCGACTTAACGGAGTTCGTAGTGCGGCGCAAACAACCTTACGCTCTTTCGATTATAACTAATTAAGCGCCCCGCCAGACGACGGAACGGTGCAAGATAAAGTGGAGCTAGACGCTGGCATTCGACACTCTCCGCGAGTGCTGAAATGGCGGGCGGGTGTTTTTTTACGGTATGATCCCATTTCCTCGAAACCCCGCCCACCCAATGAGCCTTCACCCTCCCAGAAAGTTTCCGTCGTGATGATCTTCACTCGGCAGGCTCCCTTCTCACAGTTCACTCTTCCCACGGCTAAAAAGGTAAGTTACTTAGTTCGTGGTTGGAGACCCAAATGGAAAGACCAAAAAAAAGAGCTATTGAGACGCACAGGTAGGGCGGATAGGTACATGTTGCCCCTCCAACTCGCCAACTCGGAGAGATCACGTAACATGGGCTCAGGAGGTAGTACCGCTACCCAAACTATAATGATTGCGGAAGATGGAAAAACACATGGGCATATCATTAGACTTGTGCAGCCCAATTCTCTACCGTTGGCGCACCATGGCGACTTACAGCGGCACCAGATCGTACAACGTACGTAATGACGTTTCTCCCAGATTACCAGCTCCCTTCCACAGACAAGACTGGAGAAACTTGCCTTACCCACCCCGGGCTCCGCCGCACTCTGCCTACCAGGGTCTTTCATTCAGCTTGGTAAAATCAGGATTTTCCGAATTGGATGAAGAATTGGGTTTGATTGAATACGAACGCGATAGTGATGATTTTCGGGCGCTATAGACAAACGAACAGCCGGATAGCTCATTTTCATTAGTGTAGACAGGGTCCCGACCATGTGAGTAGACCAAATTATAATGGATAACTACAGAGCGGGCTTTTCTCGCCCATCGCATCCAGTTGTTCCTGCCTATGGTGTACACACTTGGCGAATTTCACTTCAAGAGAGCTTGGATTTAGCCTTATTTGCGCGGATAAGGAAAAATTCCATCAATATGGCACACCCCAGTGACAGACAAATACTTGCGAGAGAAACTCCATACTCGGTTTGGTACCGAGGAGCCTCACAATCAAGGAAAATGGTGGTTTCAAGACCTGAGAGCGAAGCCGATCGGTTAGCATCTGCATAGAATACTGAGATAAAACGCCTTGAACTTTTCCTCAATCACCCTATATTCCTGTCAGGAGTAGTGCATTTCCTCTGAGAGTATTTTGTTGATTGATGCTGTAGTGCAGCATATGCCCACGATGCTGACTTTGGGATAATGCAGTGAATTGGCCGGCATCGAGGAGAGCTTGCCTACAATGGCCTATCTAGCCTGATAACACGAGTAGCCGCATTGATTATGCTGCGAAAAGCCTCGTCTGCCGGAAAATCTTGTCTATGTGAGTATGTAAGGTTAGAAATGGACCACCGACTTATACTAGCAGATTTCAGGTGTGGTATCAACCCGACATGCTTAAGAAGCTTGTTGGTGAATTGCTCGATGACTATCACGTGCTCTACACTTTTCATTAGAGCCTACTTTTATGGGTTTTCAAATGCTGTAGTGTCTAGCGTTGTGGCGCATTCACTGTTGCTTTTTCGAGGGCGCAATCCCGTCGTGCCTTGTTTCTGCAAACATTCTTTGTGCAACACTCATTTTCTTCAAGACTTTGTACGCTGGTAATTAATATGGTATAGTTATGAAAAGAGGCGGAATTTCTTGCATAGATTGTAACATCGACTTGCACCAGTTCTCGTTCTACATCCAGCTGGCGAAAAAATGGTGGACTTATTGACGGGAAGAGAGCATTACGCGTTGATTGCAACTAACTGGAAGGAATAAACTAGCTTATGCAAATGACATAATATTCTGGACCAGCTGATACTCTAACGTTAGTCTCTATCATTAATTCATTTCCTTGTGAAGTGTCTCTCCTGGCCACAAAATTTGAAGTGGAGCTTCTGGTTTGCTTTTTTTACACACTACTAATCAGGACCATAACATTTCATATCCTCTTTATTTGCCAATGCTCGGTGTGGTAAGCCTAGCCCTTGTGTTTCTTTTCTTTGGGGGGTTTTCTTAGGAGAGGGGCGAGTTCCTGCTGCATAACAGCTCTAGCGACCAAGTGAAACTTCTGAATTACATTGAACAGACCCGGGGACACGGCAAATGCGCTTCCGATCAATATGCTACCTTACTTGCCCTGAAAGAAGCAGACCGGTAGATATGTAGTCTCCAGCGGTCATCGAAAGCGGTGAAGGTTTTTGCTGTGTTTGAGGATGTCGTTTGCTACACAGTGATTGTCAGACCTGCGTACGATGTAGTTACGTGGTAAATGATAAACGTAATAGGGCGTGCAGTACAACGTAACAGGAAGGAGTCGAAAAGAGCAGGAGGGAAAAAAGAATTTGGAAAAAAAAAGTTGAAAACAAGAGGAAAGAGAAAAAGAATGGCGTTACCCGGAATCGAACCGGGGTCTAGACGGAATTGTGTTTCCACAACGTCTTGTACTAACCACTATACGATAACACCGAATGATCTTTGCTTTGATGGAGGTTGAGCGCCGCTATCGATGACTAAGAGCCTTCATCTTTCAATTGAGTGGGGTGGAAGAAAAGTTTTTTTGTCCCACCTGAGATCAGCCAAAATGACAGTGCGCCACAGCTGCCAGCGATTGGCTCATCAGTCATTTGAAAAAGTAAAGTAAAAAATTCGTCATTAAAAGTGGAAAGCGTTTGGATTTTGGCCCAGCCTATGGCGGAAAAGCTATAGGAAACATGGGGTAAGACATGCTCTGTGCTGAAGGTTGTTACCGAGAGGGCACACCCGGGCTCGGGCTCGGGCTGGGGAACGGCAACTCCTCGTGTGGGAAGTACTAGCTATTCTAGAAATTCAACGTGACTTGGCCGACTGACTGGCGTTATTGAGAAAGGCGCAAATCAAGAAGATTCTCGAGTTGCTTTTGCTTTCTTCCTTCCCTTGGTTGACCAAATGAATTTATCTAGAAGTAACAATCGGTTGTAAGCTTTGTGGGTACCATTTTAGCAGCAGGCAAAGGTAGAATCGACTGAATCATGAAGCAACGCCTTGTCGCACTAATAGTGCTGCACTTATGCTGAGCATCCGCAAGGCCATATATTTATTCTGATTGTTTCGATACCATCAAAGTCATCAACCCATAACATATTCTTGGCCACGGGGAAAAGCTCTGGCTTTGATCAAAGTACTTATTGATTATCTGGTCGTTATTTGGTTGGGTGGGTCTTTGTGGTTCGATAACAGCAGAGAAAAGTCGCTGAGGCCGATTGCAACGAGGTGCTAAAGGACGAGAGCGGAGTTGAGGTTTTTGAAAACATATGTGTGGGAGCCAAGTCTGATGATAGGAGTAGTAATAATTTCCTCAAACGATATACATCAAATGTGCTTTTCCATATCAGTGCTCCTCCATACAACGGCGCAGATTCCGCTCGTCCCCTGTCGGCGACAAACGGCGATCGGCCCGACGTCGCGATCGGCGGATTGATACATAGCCCCATCGCGGCCAACAAGTCTGAGTAACTTGGCCGATCGTGGTCATTGACTACGCTGCATCCATTCGTAGAACAACTATTTGCCATGCGCAGCCCTGATTCCGGGGCGCGCCCGTATCGGTCAAGGGTTCAACGGCCGTGCGATCGTTGCCGGCGCCGCAAGACTGCGTGTATTCTCCTGACCGATCCACCCTGTCGGAGCTGTGCCAAGGCTTCCAGGGAATGCACGTTCGATCTACCTCCTGTCAAACGGCCGCGCAGGGTGGAATCACTAGATCCAGAGCCGGGTTTCCACCAAGGCAACCTAGGAGATGCCGACTCTCTGATATCCTCTCCACAGATACCGCAGCTCGTAGGCCACCTGGAGCCCTTCCAGGCAAGACTGAGCGCCGTCGCACAATCTCCTGATATAACGAGGTCTACCAAGCCGTTAGGCCAATCGGATAGCTATGGGTCAAATAACATACACAGCGCACCTGTATCTCATGAGAAGATTGGGAGTTTCAATACGGACATACCGGAGGTGGGGAGTTCGCTGCACCAGCAAGATCTTCAAGAGCAGGCGTGGCGTTCAGACCATCCACAAATTTCTGACTTGAATCATCAAGACCCCCCTCTCCAGGCAGTTCAGCATGTCTGTTCACTCGACCAAATTGATGGCGCCACGGCCCTACTATGCGGCATATCGGCCGAGCTGGACCCGTGGCTGCTTCGTCACTGCAAGTATGACAGCTTCGGAATGGGTCATCTGCATGGAACCCGTATTCGCAATGTCGGAGGCGTGCCAGTCAACGAACTCGTGCCAGTTCATTTTATTGTTACCGAAACCCCTGAAGGTGCTTTGGGTATGGAGGAGAGAGACCTGGAATATTCAATCCCGCCAGAACAAGGGGCCAGGCTGATTTCTCTGTAATATCCCACATGCTCGACTACATCATACTGAACCACTAATCATCAATAGATTTCTGAAGTTTGTCTTCCCGATGATGCCAATAATATCGCGATCTCAATTGCGAAAGCTGGGTGGGGGGAATATGCCTATCGTACTTCGAGCTGCAATATACGCCTCTGCTCTGCCATACGTGGTGCATGATCCTGTACTATTCGTTTCTGGAACCTACAACGAGTCCCTAGGTGAATGGCTCTGGAAGATGGTGTATGAACTTGTGCAAGCAGGGGCGTCTTCTCTTCAGCTTGCCGACGTCCAAGCTTCCCTTCTTTGCCTGCAACGTCTTCCCGCTCGTCATCGGAGAAACCCGAGCGATACGTCCTGGCGGACATCGTTCTTGGCCAGGACCGTGGCCATCGCGATTTCACTGGGCTTACACCTTGAACCTAGCCCCTGGGGTATTCCAGCGTGGGAGAAACGACTCCGAAGACGTCTATGGTGGGTCGTCTATCTAGAAGACAAGTGGACTAGTCTGCTGCTCGGTCGGCCCACGGTCATCCAACCCGACGAATGGGATGTCCTAGAGCTAGAGGAAACCGACTTTGAGGATACCGATTCCACTGCAGCAGATCCCACCACAAACAGTCAATGTTCTTATAGCAGCTTGATCTTCCTCAACTTTGCTAAACTGGGCCAGCTAGCTGAAAAGCTCCACCAAAGATTTTAGTATGCCTTCATCATATCTCCAAGAATTATTATTGCTGTTTATACTGACTATTTCCGCGTCCCAAAGCACTCTCAGGGCGTCACAGAGACTCTCAAACAACTTTAGAGGCTCCATCGATGCGGCTCGACCAATTCGCGAAAGCCTTCAGGCCTGGTACTCTGGGCTGCCGGAAGAGCTGCGCTTCAAACCACACTCAGCGGGCCCATTCCTATCCAGGCGGCCTAAGGGCACAGCTGTACTGCACTTTTCCTACTTGACACTCGAATTATTACTTTACCGAGCCATCTTGCGCCCTCTGGCAAAGTCTCCTCCGCCAGCACCAATATCTCCTGAGAATGCATCGGCCTACATAGACCAGCCTATTCCCCTCGCGCCTTTTGCTACGCTTTCACCAACCTCCTGGTTCCTCGACCAAGTTGCTTCGGGTAATCTTGAACTAGACCAGCTACCGGTTGCGGACTCTCCGATGCTGGCAAAAGCCTCTGAGGCGACGCTTAATGCGGCCGAGAAGTGCGCCAGTATCATCGTAGCCTTTGTTGCTACTCTCGGAGCCCAGGATTTCGACATCATGTGGTATTCATGTGAGTTTCGTACAGACCGCCTCCCCCTTACGTTCTGAAGACCAATAACAGTGAACTTTCTTTCTAATGGCATACATGTAGGGTCTAGCGTTTGTTTTGCGACCATCACGAATTTCATCGTGCTGCTATTTGTTCAAGCTCCAACCGTCGCCCATGCTGCTCGTTCCAAAGAGCTCCTAGACAGATGGTCGATGCACATGCAGTACCAGCATAAGAGCCACGAGAGTTTAATGCGACTAGGTCTTGTTCGACTGTATAGTCTACAGGTAGAAGATCTAGATCGGGTTTTCATGCTATCTTCCTCTGCCCTGGAGGTTCTGACACGAGGGAGATAGCCCCGCCTTATTCGACAAATTCCTTAGCATGTTAATTCATATCCACATATTACGATAACGACCATGATTTTTGAATCATTATTTAACGGAACTATGCCAAGCTCCTTGTTCTTCATTATTGTTTTGTAAATAGTCTCCCCCAAGGTTCAAGCGGTGCCATATCCACCTTACACACCCGCAGCATCTCCCAGACCACTGTGGCTACGGTGTCAAACACTGGTATATCATGCACTTTCTCCCAATGCGCCACGCGCTGAGCAGCTCGCAGGTTCGTGCAGAATGTCGTAATGCCTTGAGGCTTCTCGGCGGCAACCTCGTTCACCATACCGTCGAGGACTGACTCCTCGATGGTCGCGAAAGTGGAATTCTTAGAAATGCGCAAGTGACGCTCTTTGCTGCAATTTATGCCGATCGTGGCGTATGTGCGGATGACAGCTTCTTGCACGTTGTCCATGTATGGGGTTACGAGGCCCAGGTCCGTCACGCCGAATTCTTTGGCGGCCTTGTTGAGTGCAAGGACGGACGTCGTGGCCGGAATGCCCGTCGCCGCGGTGATTTCAGCGCACAGTTTCTCGTCTGTGGCGAAACCTAGCCACCCGGACGAGGTACCGCTCCAACCGATCATGTCGACCTCGGCATCAGCCAACAGCTGGGCGGCCGCCACAATCTTCTCGTTCTGGAACTGGTGCAAGGCATCTTCCTCCAGGCTGATCTTGACCACAGGGAAGCGTGAGAAGTGGACACTAACGTTGGGGAGCGTTGCAATGATGGCCTGCGTGAGGGGCTCGAGGCTGGTATTGGAGGATGGGGTAAGAATCCCAAGTCGGATGTTGCGAGGCATGACTGCGAGCAAGGGTTGGACGACTATGGTTGAACGAGAAGCGTTGAATCCTCAAACTCAATCGTTTACTTAAGAGAATATACCTTTTATTGTATTCGGGCTGGGACCGCTGACCACCGCGTAACGAAGAGAGTCGTAGCAATAGGAATAGAATTATTCCCATAGTTAGCTCAGGCAGTGTCCTGAGTCGGAGCTGCCGCCAGGGTATCGGGCAATTATCGTTCGCCTATCACAGTCCCCACATTGCCGATGTTCCAAGGAGATCTTATTCGCGCCCAAACCTGCCAATTAGCGTGTTGATCGGCAAAGGTCTTGCTGTAGGAATACAAGATAAGACTAAAACGAATATGACCAATGGGACCACTACCGACTCAAAACCCTTATCCAGGAACTTCACTGTCAAGGGGGTTGCAAAGGAGCAGCCAGATAGGCCATGGGTTTTAAAAAGATCTCCCTGGTCGCGACGTGGTTCGAAGAGACGTTGCAGTCTTATGTATGCATAATAATTGTCTGCCATTCGATAATCAAGTCAATCACCGACTGACCACGACTCGGTGACACTTCTCTTAACACTTTATTCCTTGCAAGGCCCCGTCACAATGTTGATCCGTAAACATCTCGACTCCGCC